ATTAAAAAAAAAAAAAAAAAATATTCCTTCGAAACAATCCACGATGGATATTCACGATGGAGGCCCACGAGGTCGACGAGATTATTATTCCCAGCGACACGGTGATTTTTCTAATTAATAGTCCGGATAATTTGTCAGAGAAGGCTCGACAGGGCGGAGAAAAATTGCGGTTCGAGGTTTATCGCGCGCGTTAATGGGACTTATTACTGCTCGATCGAGGTGCATTAATTACGGCCATGGTGGCCGTGATTTAATCAATCAATTACGTAACTCCGTAACCGAGGACGGGACCCCTCCCCTCCCTTCCCCACCCGATCTCGTGGTGTGTGCCACGAAGATGTATCACGCTTTGGGAAACTCGGCGATCCGATTAGACGGCGTTTCCTATCCCTCGTTTAAATTATTTCGTCGCCTCGATTTTAATCGAGTTAAAGATAAAAATTTTGAAATGATTATCCGGAACTGGATAGTTGACACATCGCTTCGAGTTCGTTTCAATCTCGTGTAAGCGAATTTAACATAAGTTTGAATTCCATTAGATGGGGATCTAGAGAGGATTTTTGGAAAGTGATATTTCGAGCGTAATTTCTTTTCTCGATTCTATATTGTGAAGTTTCGTTTATTTATCTTATGTTATAAGTGGAACGATTTGTCGATTGAATTGAAAAAATTGTTTAGCAAATTATTTACGTTTGAATATTTTGTGAATTGTAGTAAAATCTACGATGTGTGCTATGCGTGTAAAAGTTAGAGGTGTCGTTGTATTTTTTTCTTTTTTTTTTTTTTTTTAATTTGAGAAATATCACAGAATTCATTGTTGTAAATTTACAAAAAAAATATTTTAGAATTTAGCCAATACTTGGTCCAATTCGAGATCCAGGGAAACGAAATTTCGTATGCGTGAACAACAATGAAATCAAACATTCTACAAAATTCCAGTCACTCGAATACACTTTCAAAAGATCCAATTTTAAAAATTTAACAAATTTTTGTATTATTTACGTACTTTAAAAATTTTCAAAAATAAAAAAAAAAAAGATTCTTTTCTCTTCCAAAGAACATGATGAAAAAAATTCTAATGAAACTCGAAAACAACCCTTTTGAGTCTATCTCTCGAATATCGACTTCTATTAAACCATATTGAAAACGCGGCAAATTTAAAAGCTCTACT